ACCTGCAGCAGATTTTTCTCTAAGTCCCTGTCTGTCCGTGGTGCTGAAACTGCCACAAGGATGAGCAGGAAGAACCACCAGGTGGAGTCTTTGAGAGCAAGCCTGCTCTGTTCCAAGCAATAGGGAAGTAAGTGTTCCCTGTTCCAATCCTTCTCTCTGGGTAACCCATTCTAGAGGCATTAAAACCATCTATCATGCTGTTTATCACAACACATCCAGATGCTCTGAGCAGTAAAGCCATTCACAACACACAGGCATCCCATTTTGGGAAGATGCTCCCAGTCGAGCCTTCCCAGGGGATCTTTCAGGAGAGGAGAGACACCCATCTGTCTACAGAGCTCCCTTCCAGCCCAGTGACAGATGTCATGGGACCAGTCTTCAGAGCCTGCAGGTAGCGGACCCTGAAGGGGAGCCTTGTCCCCTTCAAGCTGACAGCAAGTTCTGTGTTTGTTTGGATATTAGAAAATGCCAAGCATGGCTTGGTTTTCCAGAAGACTCTTCCCTTCAAAATAAAGAGGGCTTCATGGGGTGTTTCCCCCTCTGAAGTTTCAAATAAAATCAAACTTTGCAAAAAGAGGTTTCTGCTGAGAACAAAATCAAGATCCAAGAGGAAAAGAGGCTTCCATCTCCCGGGTCAATGAGCCAGATCTAACAAGATGGAGTTTAACTGGAACGAGTTTAAGGTTCTCCACGTGGGTCCAGCCAACTGAAAGGAGAACAGGGGCGGGGGGATGAGCCTTGGCAACAGCCACGGTGACAAAGATACACTCGACTCTGCTCAATAGGAGTCATCTGGCTGCCAAAAAGGCTTAAGCGTTGTTAATGGAAAGAGAGCACCTGGTGGGACAGAGAAGACCATCTTATCCACTCTGTTCTGATCACAGCACACCGGAATATTGTCTCAGCACAGAGCACAGAACCTAATTTTCACAGAACACAGTCCGGCCGAATAGCATCCCCTGGCAGGGAAGGAGGGGCAATTTCTTAGAAGATTCAGCACAGGTCACAGCGCAGGGATCAGGAAACCAGGACCATCTGTTCTAGAAAGAACAAGCTTGTTCGTTTTGTTCAATCATTAAGTTGTGTCCAACTCTTTGCGACCCCGTGGATTGCAGCATGCCAGACTTTCCTGTTCTTCACCAACTCCTGGAGTTTGCTCAAAGTCATATCCATTGAATAAGTGATGACAGCCAACCATCTCGTCCTTTGTTGTCCCCTTCTCCTCCTGCCTTTAATCTTTCCCAGCGTCAGGGGCTTTTCCAGTGAGTCAGCTCTTGGCATCAGGTGGCCAGAGTATTGGAGTTTCAGCTTCAGCATCAATCCTGATGAATATTCATGGTTGATTTCCTTTAGGATGGACCGGTTTGATCTCCTTGCAGTCCAAGGGACTCTAGTACTCAAACACTTTGGACAGGTGGGGAAGAAACTAGACATTCTGGGAGACTCCATTTGATTCCCCTAGAACTAAAGGAGAAAACAGGGGGAAGCGGGTTTGGCTCAATATAAAGAATGCCAGTGTTGGTATTGTTCTGTCTTTTAGTTTTCTAATTACAGAACTAATATGTGTACATTGTCAAAGAAAAGTTCGAACAATACAGGAACATAGAGAATATAAAATTTCCCATTTAGCCTCATCACATTTCCATATTTTACTTGCCTGCCTATTCACCTGCCTATATGGTACCACATTTAGGTTTAGTGTATATCCTTCAAGCCCTTTCAAAGTGCATTCACACAAACACATACACACACACATACACACACACACCCAGTTTGACTTTTGGGTTCTCAATGAGACCATACTTGACCCAATGGGGAACACTCTCTTGAGCACTGGAACCATGGGTTGGGCAGTGATGGAGAGGGAGTGAGACCCTCCCCTCCCCGGGAGATGTTCAGAGACTGGGCATTTGTTAACCAGGATACGTACAGAGGGAACTCAAGCATTGGCTAGACCCTTAGTTCTCTCAAACTTTAGCTTGAAGAAAAATCACAGACGGTGTTTTTTGAAATTTCAGATTCTGAATCCAAAATCCAGAGAGCCTGACATAGGAGATCTTGGGTCCTCTGAATAGACATGTTCCACAAGCACCCCAAGGCAGTCAGATGGAAACGGTCCGTGATCCACACAGTATTAGAAAACACTGAAGTGATGGTTAGACCACTTGACTTCAACTTGGACTGGATCGAACTGGAAAGCGCGTCTCCTGAGGCAGTGTTATCAGGAAGGAGACTGCCATGATGTCTGTGTGTCTAGCTGACTAACTCTCTGCCTGCCTCTCCCCGCTGCCTGAGCCCAGGGCTATGCTCTTGCCTCAGTCTAGAAAACCAATGGATTCTTTCCAAGGGCTCAGCGTGGGATAAATCTCTAGCCCACAAAGCAGGGTGAAGAGCACCCCACGTCTGATGGGCAGTCCACCACACCAGGGGCAAGTCTGAGAAAGGCAGGGACCCTGCCATGCCCCAGGCTCCTTGAGAACAGCGCAGCAAGCTGGAGCCTGGTGGACAAGGATCCTCCAGGTATCCATCATTCCACGTGCTTCCGGGTTCCCCACAAACCCCAGAAGTGGAGGTTGGAAATGCATACAGAGTTTTACCAGTCCCAATGACTGGGGCGATGTTACCATTTGGTGAGGGAGGCCAGACACCCTGCAGTTCAGGAAAGTGCTAGAGCTCAGACGCTCAGTCGTGTCCGACTCTGTGACCCCATGGACTGTAGCCCACCAGGCTCCTCTGTCCATGGGATTCTCCAGGCAAGGACACTGGAGCGGGTTGCCACTTCCTCCTCCAGGGGATCTTCCTGACCCAGGGATCGANTCCAGGGGATCTTCCCAACCCAGGGATCGAACCCATGTCTCCTGCACTGGCAGGCGGTTTCTTTACCACTAGTGCCACCTGGGAAGCCGTAATTATTGGGACTGGTTTAATACAAACAAAGAGAATAATATTTTGAAGATATCCAGCCAGCCTCTGATGGGCCAGGACAGATAGCCGGCTAACGGGAGCGGAGGTCTCCCAGGCTGAGTGTCACTTGCCGCACAAGAGCTTTGGGACAGGAGCTGCATTTGCATTTCCGAGGCCAGACCACACCTTTCCCGTATATATCGCCATTTCCCCCAACTCTCGGCCCTGATTAAAGGAGGGGAGAAAATCACTTACACCCCTAAATTGCAACAACAAAGGCTGGGTTTCTCTTTTCAATCAAAACAGCAGGGCAGCCTGATTCAAATGCTAATCGCAGGGCCTGAATTGGCCACTAAGAGAGGGAGACACGTCTCCCTGCAAATGACCACAAGGCCACTCCTTCCCCCCAAGAACCTGCGGGACCCGCCCAGTCAGACGGCTGTGAAATCTGTGAAGTCACTTCATGGGAAACAGTGTCTGGCGTGGCCAGCTCCAGGAGCCCGTTCCTGGAGAAGAGAAGAGGGCCTCCAGTTTGAACAAAGCTCATCTTCTCCCCGTTACACATCCGGGAAGAAATGACAAGAACTGGTGTGACTCTAGGCACGGCGCTGGTGTCCACACCTCTGGGCGCATCGTTGGGTGTCACAGGAGGGGCCGTTCACAGAAGGGCGCCCCGCNCCCCCCCCCCCCCCCCCGGACACCAGCTGAGCAGTCAGGGCGAGGCTGGTGCGGGGTGCTGGCGGGCCCCACAGGGCACACATGTACTCCCGCCTGGGGAGGCAGACCCAGGTCTTCTCTTCCCGAGACCGTCCCCCTAAGGACTCAGGGTGCAAGGAACACACAGCACAGAACCAGGCCCAAGGCCACACCCTGAACGGCAGGACTTGAACTGGGATCATCTGGCCCCAAAGCTGCCCGTCTCCAGCTGACCCCCCTTCCCCGGCAAGCAGTGTGCTGGGATGCAGGATGCTGGTGGGAGGACTAGGGTGGGGGGATGTGGCTGTGGGTAGCACAGTGGAAGGAAGGCCACCTCAGAATCAGGATGAATTAGGACGACAGCACCCAACTCTCGACCTGCCGCCTTTTCCAACAGAGAATTCCAAAGTCTCGCCTCATAGAGAGGCTTTGAAACCTTCTCAGCCTCTCTCTGCCGTGATCACAGTATGGGTCTGTTTTTGCAGGGTTGGGAGGGTTTAAATCAGAAAAACGTGTTTTATTTATTTACTTTTTAAAAGTGAGTTTGGGTTGTGCTGCTCTTTGCTGCAGTGTGCTGGCCTCTCGGTCTACGGCGTGCGGGCTTAATTGCCCTGTGGCATGTGGGATCCAAGTTCCCCCACCAGGGATCCAACCCGTGTCCTCTGCGTTGGAAGCTTGGAGTCAACCACGGGATTTCCAGGGAAGTACCATGTTTGAAAACAAAATGGTTGACTGGGCATCAGACACTTATATGAATACAAAAATCTGGAAAACTGAAGCTTGAGGTGGGGCTGAGAGGTGTGCGTGCAGGCAGCGCGCCCCCAGAGAAGGGGCGCAGAAGCAGCCCCCGTGCACGCCCGACCAGCATCTGCTCAGCAGCAGCACCTTCCTACACGTGGGACCAGGGCCCCTCGGATGCACTGAGCTGCCACGTCAACTCGCCCGGCCCACGGCCTCGTGGCCTGCTCTTAGATTTATAGTAGCTATTGTTTAGCTGTAAATCAACCTAGAAATTATATGTCAGTGTAAACAAACACCTTTTCACATACTTCATCTAACTCCTACTTTGATGTTTACATGTTAGTATCAAACTGTCAGCATGGACTGTATTTTCTATATGACTAAAATGAGTGATTGAAGAGCTGATTGAAAAGAAAAAACAACTATGTATCTTTTTAATATTTGCTTTTGGGTAGCCCTTATCCACCCATCGGGCTTTCCAGGCGACACAGTGGTAAAGAATCCACCTGCCAATGTAGGAGACTCAGGAGGCTTGGGTTTGATCCCTGGGTCAGGAAGATCCCCTGGAGGAGGGCATGGCTACCGGCTCCAGTATTCTTGCGTGGAGAAGCCTGCGGACAGAGGAGCGTGGCAGGCCTCAGTCCTTAGGGTCCCGAAGAGCTGGACACGGCTGAGTGACTGAGCGCACACACCCACCAATCCCACGCTTGTGCACGTGTGGGCCCTGCACCCACCAGGTGCCCAGCTGGGGCGCCTGGCTCTCCAAGCGCCGCACTCTCTCGGCCTTGGTGCGTGCCTGGACTCAGCTCCATTCTGCGGAATCGGCATGTTTGGTAGGAGCAATGCTGAATTTAAATCTGTATGAGTAACAGGCTTTAACAATTTGCAGTCTCGAGGGAGGGGTTATGCAATCCTCTGAGCTAACCATCCCTTTCTCTCCTCTCTACCTCCACCTCTTATAGTCCAGACGACCCTCAAAGGACAGGAGTTACTTTTGTTTACTTTCTAGACTTACATTATGCTAGTTACTCCACTCCAGTATTCTCGCCTGAGAAATCCCATGGACAGAGAAGCCTGGAGGGCTACTGTCCATGGGGCTGCAAGAATTAGACACAATTTAATGACTAAACAACAACAAATTCTCATTGATTAGGTTTCATGATGCTTCTTTTGCTGGGAAATAGTGGTGGTACCATACTGTGTAGTGACAGTTCTTTCATACCTCTATGAAAACACCATGGATGTGATTGTGCAAAAGGTATCTAAAATAAGCATCCATGTACATGTTAGAAAGAGACTTACCTCCTGGAGAACTCCATGTTAGCGAGGGAAGTGGAATACATCTGATGTAAGCGACTAAGATATCTTTTACTTTGAGAATCCTTCTTATCTGATTGACAGATAATCTTGTCCTGAAAGAAATGTTTTATTTTTATTTTTTGTGTCTTACCTCTGAAGCTAGAATTTAAGGCTGTTAAAGATGGGTCTTTATTCTCCTTTATATTTCTAACGCAGGGATTCATGTATTACACACAATCAGTGTGCACTGTGTTGCTGAAATAAGGAAGAACCTTTGCAATCTATTACAAGTTAATCTCTAAAGGGGCGTTGACTGTAAATTTAGATTACACATAGCGGCCCATCTTTGGGAACCTTGTCTTGCAGGTTAGGAGCATTAAGCTAAAATGTCTTCACAGGAAGCATGATGACCAAGCCCATATGTGAATGGCTGCACGAAGGAATAACACATCCCCTCAGGAGGCTGCCTGGAACCACCAAACGTTTGACTTAAAAGAAGCCTGACTTCTAACTTAAGCAGGATGGTTCCTGGGGACCCGAGTCTACCATCTTCTCGGTTTGGCGCCTTTTCTTGCCCCTACAACTCGTCTCCCAATTTACTGGCCCGTCCAGTATGAGCTTGGACTCAGTATCGCTCACTATGTTGCATAAACCTAGCAGTTACTCTCCGAATTTTATATTTGTAATGTTTTTGGATCTATGTCAAAATATTCTGGGTATGCTATAAATATTAATACTTAGACTTCCCTGCCTTGGCCTTCTGGTGTAAACTAGTTGACAAGATAACATTAATGCCACTGGACTGCAGAAGCATCTCACAGACAGCAGTCTTCCAGGCTAAGACTTGTACAAACCAAAGCACGTTATTTAGCACAGGGTAATTAAGGGTAGTATTAAGTACAGCATTTGAGACATTTTAAAAATCCAAAAATAGTGATGTAAATTATATCACCCAAAGTGTAGAAGAGTCGGACACGACTGAGCGACTGAACTGAACTGAACTGAACTGAAGTGTAGAAGAGGAGAAATTTTAAACAGATGTATATAGAAATAGCCAGAAAGCTAAAGTCCTGGGTTGGCCAAAAAGTTCATTTAGGTTTGTCTATAAGGTGTTATAGAAGAACCCAAACGAACTTTTTGACCAATCAATAAAACCAACTGAATGCCAAGAGATAGAATATCAGGTTAGAGAAAATTCCAAACAGATGAAACCAAGGACCAAGTAGGACCAGGAAGGTGGAGGAAGGGAAGGACTCGGAAATCAGCGCTGCGGGGTTGAGTTTTCAGACCCTTAGGCCTTGGTGGGGACGAGCACGGCTCACTTGGAGCCCATTCTCATTCAGGGTGCCAAGGAAGGAGCTGACCCATGAGCCATCCCTTAACTTCATGTCAACCAGACCGAGCCGGCACCAGTGGTCACAGGCAGGTGCTCTGATAATATCCAGTGTTTGTCTGATCCTCAGAATCACCGGGATTCGTAGAGGAGTTTGATAACAGCACAGGTTCCTGGGTCCCCGCAGAGACCCACTCAATCCGAGTCTTTGCATGTTTCATAGGTGCCCCAGGTGACCACTGTGACTCACACGTCTGGTGAGGGTCACACAGGTGAGGATGACCCAGGAAGAGAAGCCGGGAATAACGGAAGAGCCAGTCTTTCAGACAGTCCCACCGCATACCACTTACTCCTTTGCTTAAAGAATCAGATTTCAAGATAGACTACATTAGTTCCGGGTTTCCCTGGGGGCTCAGACAGTAAAGCATCTGCCTGCAATACAGGAGACCCAGGCTGGATCCCTGGGCTGGGAAGATCCCCTGGAGAAAGGAATGGCTACCCACTCCAGTATTCTTGCCTGGAGAATCCCATGGACGGAGGAGACTGGTGGGGCTACAGTCCATGGGGTCACGAAGGGTCGGACACGACTGGGTGACTGACACTTTCACTTTCATATTGGTTACAGGACGAGGTTTGTGTTACAAGTGAAAGGCATTAGTGTGTGTGTGTGTCCAGTTTGTCTTGTTGGGGTGGTGGCTGTAACCTGGTCCCTAGATTTCTACACGTGAATATTCATGGAATTTTACCGTCTGAACGTGTTGCTAAGATGATCATCTTCTCAAAGGCCCTGATTTGACTGACAGGAGATGCCCCTGTGTGTGTGCATGTTTCCACGTTTGTGTGCCCAGGAGGACCGCACTGCAGGACCCTTTTCTGAGCCTGGGAGAATTCTGGAGCTTACTCCCTTAAACTTCAGCCTGTAAATGAATTAAACAGAGTCCGATGCTAGCTTTCATAACCAACGACAGTAAACCTCTAGGGGAAAGTTTGTGCAGCAAAATTCCAGGAGTTTCAAGAATTCACTCTCACCCTAAGAAGCTCACATATGGCTCAGGTTATCCTGATGCGGCCTTGACATGCTTTTGGGAGATTGAGCCAGTGCATCTGGCTTTGAGGCTGGCACTTCAGATAGTAAAGATAACCCCTTTATCTCAGGGAAGGGAACGTTTGCTCAGACCTCAGCCGGGGTTTGTGGCTATTCTCATGGTAAAGAAAAGCATTTGTCTGTGGCTTTTCTTTTCTTCTTCGCCACCACTGGTTCCTCTGAATTTCACTTTGAACCCCTGACACCTCGGGCCTTCTCTCAGGATGATCGGGTGGAATACACAAGGCGCCCAGGGTGGGAGGAGGTGGGGTAGGGGGTGGGGGNGCGCAGGGATGGAGGTGGGCGGTCCAGCAGGGTCGGAAGGACCCACACACCCCCAGCTCACCTGCTCCAGGCCTCGGGGTCGCTGGGCTGCAGTTTCTCGTTGTTCACGCCGTTCCCTCCATTTCGCAAGCCGAGAAAGAAGGCCCTGAGGAGGAATGTGAGATATCTTTTAATAAATATCCCCCCATGCCACAGTTCACCGACCCTGGCAGCCGAGCATGGCCCTCCGGTTTCCACCACAACTCACAAAGTGGGGACTTCGCCTCAGCATTTTGTACCCGGAAGGGGTTAGTGGGGGCAAGGTGCCTTGTTATTTAAGGCTAGGGTTCCAAACGCACAAACGCAGCCCAGTGAGGCAGAGGCCCCCGTCTCGCTGATGCTTCGCCCGGTTTACGACGCGCGTACACACCGCCTCTGGTTCCACGGTTCCGTGTTAGGACGGTTTTGTGTCTCACGCAGAACGCCGCGATGGCGCTGGGTCTCCTATTCCCTGGTTCGGTAGGAACAGGACGCGTCAGATACAGGACAGTATTGAACGACTTCCTCCGTACTGACTGTGGTTCCTCTCGCTGCTGGTTCTGTAAGCTTTCCCAGCACCAGGTANACGCCGCGATGGCGCTGGGTCTCCTATTCCCTGGTTCGGTAGGAACAGGACGCGTCAGATACAGGACAGTATTGAACGACTTCCTCCGTACTGACTGTGGTTCCTCTCGCTGCTGGTTCTGTAAGCTTTCCCAGCACCAGGTACAGGGTCTCCACGGCCGTCTGCCCGGCGCCAGTGTGACGTCAGTGTGACCTCAGTGTGGCGTCAGTGTGACCTCAGTGTGGCGTCAGTGTGACCTCAGTGTGACCTCAGTGTGACCCCAGTGTGACGTCACTGTCCCCCGCCAGCCGGGGGGCGGGGACTCTCCCAGGGGCGGGGCCCGCTAGTGGCCCATTTTCCTCCTTACTCACAGGGCCCCAGCGTTGCACTGGGGCCCAAGGCACGCGGGTGAAGGAGGCTCCGTGGCACTCAGGATGCCTAGGGGGACCTGGATGAGTTTGGATGCTCGGGTACCAATCACTGTTCCCAGGACGGGGGACCAGGTCAGCCTGCCCCGCCCTGCTCGGTCCGGCTCCTCTCACACTGGCCGGAAGTGCTGGAGCCAGACGGGTGCCCTGTCTTCTCCAGACGAGTGTCTTTGCCAGAAAGCGTCTGGTCTCTCCCACTCCAGCAGGCCTACCCTTCCAGTTCTCCAGGCAAAACAGATTCAAAGGTTTTCAAATATTTTATGTCCTTGTTTTTGTCAGATTCTTTTGTATCTCAGAGTTTATAAGCATTCTCAAATACGTCTAGATATTGCAGTCTAGATCTGAGGTCACTGACACACCGTCCCTTTATAACCTGTATTCATTTTCTCTGTTCATTTTGGAAGTTTACGCTGCCCTGAAGTGGTCAAGCTGGATGTGGATGAAGCACAGCCTAGAATCAAGATTGCCAGGAGAAATATCAATAACCTCAGATACGCAGATGACACCAGTCTTATGGCAGAAAGCAAAGAAGAATTAAGGAGCTTCTTGATGAAAATGAAAGAGGAGAGTGAAAAAGTTGGTTTAAGACTCAATATTCAGAAAACTAAGATCATGGCATCTGGTCCCATCACTTCATGGCAAATAGATGGGTAGACAGTGGAAATAGTGACAGACTTTATTTTATGGACATGAGTTTGAGTAAACTCCAGGAGTTGGTGATGGACAGGGAGGCCTGGTGTGTTGCAGTCCATGCGGTTGCAGAGAGTCGGACACAACTGAGTGACTGTACTGAACTGAAATGAACTGAAGTGATCAAATCGATCGCCTGCATTTCTGAACAGTTGTCCTTGTTTACAAGTGTTTCATGCCATTATCCACCATTCAACCAGAGCGCCATTCAACCGCCATATCTGCACGAGAGCCTGTTGGATTTCTTCCGATCTTCAGCTGCAGAAGACTTGTCTGTCTGCAGTTTGTGTCTCAGACTTTTCTAATTCATAACCAGCTGTCAACCAGCTGATGAAGGGACACCTTCCCATGGGTTCTACACATCTTACACAATATCACTAGATCATCCTCGAGAATCAATAATATGCCAACTTCTGTTTATCTGTTTTCTGTTCTTGGAAACACACACTGACAATTGATTATAGTTGAAGTTAGCACGGTAATTTTGCTTTCGTTCTATCTTCACTAGCCAGGCTAATATACTGAAAGAAAAATAAAACTAACACTATCTTGAAATCTATGATACTCCCAGGAGGTAAAGTTGGGAGAAAATTTTCTTTTTAACCCTAAGATTTCTCATTTTTTCTTTTTTTGGCTGCGCCGGGTCTTCATTTTGTGTGGGCTTTCTCTGGTTGCAGCGAGAGGGGAGCAGTCTTCATTGCAGTAGCTGCTACGGAGCACAGGCTCCAGGAGTTCCAGCTCTGGGAGTTCCGTCTTCAGGAGCTGCAGCACTTGCGTCCAGGAGTTGCGGCTCTCGGGTGCTGGAACACGCAGGCTTCAGTAGCTGTGGTGCATGGACTTAGTTGCTCTGTGGCCTATGGAATCTTCCTGAACCAGAGATTGAACACATGTCCCCTGCATTGCCAGGTGAATTTTTATCCACTGCACCACCAGGGAAGTTCCCTAAGGTTTTTCTAACTACTTAGTTTGAAAGAATTTCAAATTTATACAAACTTACAGGAATTATACAATGAACTCCCATAAGTCCTTTAGCTACTTGTAGCAATTGCAAACATATTTCACATTGTGTCACATTAAATGCATGTTTTATGTCTCCCTTTCTCTCTTTTTACACGTTTTTATACGTATACATATAATTATGCTAATATTATTATTAGTTCACCATTTGAGAGAAAGTTACAGACATAATGGCCCTTTAGTCATAAATATTTTATCATATATTTCCCAGTAAAAAGGTCATTCTCTTATACAGCCTCAGTAAAATGACCAGATTTAGGAACTGAATATTGCTGTCATGCTATTATCTGATTTTCAGCCTACATATTACCAACTGGTTTCTCTAGAATGGTATAGTTGTAATGTTTAAGGACATGTTGAGATTCAGTCAACTAAGACAAAGGGATGTTATTAATACTAATAACTTGCTTTCAAAAGTGATCTGTATCATAAAGGGAAAAAAGTCTATGTGAGAAATAGATTCTATGGTGACAGACAGGCTCAATCAACAAAAATTGTCTAAGTATTCAAGAAAATACTGGAAGAATCGCTCTGGCAATACAGATATTAAAACTGGAACAATGCAGAGAAGGTCAGCATGGCTCCTGCACAAGATGATGCATAAATTCACGAGGTGTTCCATATTCTTTTCAGAAAGGAAATAAAGCGTTTAAGTGTTATGGACTGAATTATGTTCCCCCCAGATCCTTGTGTTGAAGCCTTAACCGTCTATGTGACATGTCTGGAGACAGAGCCTTTTAAAAAGTAAGTAAGGTTACCTAAGGATGGGGCCCTAGTCCAAGAAGACTAGTGTTCTTTGGGAAGAGGAAGGGACACCAGGCTGCTCTCACACAAAGGAAGGGCCGTGTGAGGACAGCTCTTTGCAAGCCAGGAAGAGATCTCTCACTAGGACCCCAACCTGCTGGTGCTTTGATCTTGGCCTCCAGCCTCCGGAACTGTGAGAAATGAACTTCTGTTCTTTAAGCTGCCCGACCTATGGGGTTTTGTTATGACAGCTGTAGAAGAGTAATTCACTGGGTAAAAATAGTAGACTATCCTTCTCATGAGATTCTTAAGTTAGCTTTGATGGTTGAAGCAAACATTATAACACCATCTGATGTAGTGTTCCATGTGTGCGGAGGAAACACTTAAGACAATTTTACTTTAAAAGCAGTAAGAATTAAAGGACCTAAGTGGGCGTAAACATTCAATATTTCACTCAAAGTGCTAAGATGTTGAGGAGGCCACACTAAGTAACTTAAATATGACATAATATCTAGAACAGCCACTAAGAAAACCACATAGAATGATATGATCAAAAATGTTATAAATAAATAAAAATGGTATTTTAAAACATGCTGATAATCGAAAGGAAGTCAAGAAAAGAAAAATAGAGGAATGAGAAACAGAAAAAGCAAAACAAAAATTGAAATGTAAGCAAATTTTTTTAAACTGAAATCATACAGAATTTGTTCTCTGATCACAATGGAGTCATTTCTCAAACCCACAAGTTACCAAAACTCAGCTAAGATGAGAAAGATAACCTTAACCTCAGAAGTCTTAAAACCATGAAAGAAATTGAATTTAGAAATACCCAGTCCCAGATGATTTAACAAGGTAATTTTATCTAACATTTAAGTAAGAATTGGATTTCCCTGCTGGCTCAGATGGTAAAGTGTCTGTTTACAATGTAGGAGATGCAGGTTCAGTCCCTGGGTCGGGAAGATCCCCTGCAGAAAGAAATGTCAACCCACTCCAGTATTCTTGCTTGGAAAATTCCATGGTCGGAGGAATCTGGCGGGCTACATTTCACAGGGTCGCAAAAAGTCGGACACGACTGAGCGACTTCACTTTCTTTCTTTTCTTTCGAAGTAAGAGTTAGCACAAAATTTTATACAATCTCTCCAAGAAAATAGATGAGGAAGAAATATTTGCCAACTCATTTTATGAGGCTAGCAGTATTACCCTGACAGCAAAGACCAAAATATGTTCTCGCTTAAAAAAAAAAAAAAAAAGAATGTACAGGGTAATCTCTCTCATGAACATATACTCAAAAATTCTCAACAAAATATTAGCAAACCCAATCCAGCCATGTATAAAAAGAAATAAAACATCATGACCAAGTAGAATTTCCAAATATGCAAAGCTAGATCAATAATCAAAAGTCAGTCAGTGTAAACCACCATATTAACAGGCTAAGAAATCCATTGGCACAGACAAATGATTTGAACAAGTTCTGTACCAGTGACATAAAATCTCTCAGCAAACTGGGAATGGAGAGGCACTTCCTCTCCCTCATGAAGAGTATCTACAAAACCCCAGAGCCAATATCGCAATTACAAGTTAAAGACTGAATTCTCCTCCTTTAAAACTGGAAGTGACGCAAGGATTCCTGTGTTTTTAACTTTAAATTTTAATCATTCAATGTTGGTATATCTGAAAGTCGATCCCCGTGTATTGACCTTGTATCCAAGAGCCACAGTATAATCATCTGATTCGAGGCCTGCAGGGGTTCTTGGGAAGTTCCCCCCTCAGATGTGTTTTTGCAAAGATTTCCTCCCAGTTTCTGATTTGTCTCCTCAGTCTTTGAACAGTGTCTCCAGATTCTTCAGCACTGCCCCACCTTGGCAGCCTCCCAATGTGGAAGGCAAGCCTGTGAAACTTCTGAAAGAGAACACAGGAGGAAAGCTAGGTGACCTTGCTTTGGCAAGGAGTTTTTAGCTACCACACTAGAAGCAGCACAGTCCATGAAAGGAAAAACTGATGTGCTGGACTTCATTAAAATGAAAAACGTGGGCTCTGAGGGAGACACTGTTAAAACACTGAGGAGACAAGTCAGAGACTGGGAGGAAATACCTGCAAAAACGTATCTGAAGGGGGACTTCCTGGCGGTCCAGG